CGCAGGCGGCGGCGGCGGCCGCCTACAGCCCCCACAATGCCGCGGGGCGGCGCGGCGCGGCCCCGGGAGGCTGAGGGGAGTGGGGCGCGGGTCTGCCGTGTACGGCGGGGGCAGAGGGGCGAGTGGCAGCGTTCCGCCCCGCGGGGAGACGCCGAGGGAGCGCGGCTTTACCTCACGTTTGACACGGCAGGGGGGTGCCTGGGGAGAGTCGCCGGGGGCGGCAGCAGCACGGTATCCCCGGGGATTGACCCCCTCTGGGGACCCCCGGGGCTTCCGTGTCACCGCCCCGGCTGCCCGCGTGCCCCGCCGCCGGGCCGGCCCTGTCCGCCGCTCCCCGCGGCTGTGCGGCCTGGCCGGCCGTGGGGGAAACCCTTCCCCTGTTAGTCTTTATTTGTCCAACCCTGCCGTTGAATGCCCCTTTTAAAATTAGAAACCACCGTACAGCGACAGAACAGCATTCCAGAACAATCTCCTACCAGCCCAGTAAAGAGGAGGGGGTGCTTCCCTTTGGCCACAACTACAGCAGCATCACAGGCTGTTTGTGGAGGGGTTTATTCCAGCCAGGAACATATTGCTTGACTGAAATTCCAGGGGGGGATTTCAGACAATGGAAGCGTTCTTACCTGCGGCTGCATTGTGGCCAAGAACTGGCGGTAGCCTTCTTGCTCTCGCAGAGTACACTATGAGATGCTCATGGTCCAAGGGCAGCTTTGTGTCATACCTACGGCCACCACTTCGACAAGTCGGGTGGCCACAGACCACACCTGCCAAGAGGGCAACCATCTGCAGAGCACCACTAAAGAGGCTTACATAGGGCATGAGATGACCAGCACCTTGAGAAGTTACTTGTCGCTGGTCCCTCTGAACGCACATAACAAAAATAAATGTTTCCTGGACTCTTCTAGGGTGAATCTACCTAAAAAAAATATAAAAAGGGTGTGGATAAATAAGCAGAGGCTTCTCAGATGTTAACATATACATTAGAAGTTTATGTGTAATAACCCTAAGGCTTAAATTAATGCTTGCTGGTGCTAGTCTATCAGAAACACATAATTTAGTAAAAGAGCCTGATACGTATGAAGTATAATTGAAAGGAAGGCTTGAGTTTTTAAGAAATGAAGACTAAAAATTGCTTCTGAAAATCCCCAACCCATGAAAAGTGTTTGGAAAATGCTTAAAGTCCTTTCAAACAGCTTAATTAAGAGTCATTTTTCATCAACTGGAGTGAGATATTAAAAGGAAAACTAATGACTTTATATATTGGGTTTGAACAGCAAAAGGAAAATGTTTTGTAAATACATCCTCTTTACTTTGTTTGCATACTTACACATATTTAATATGCAATTGAGCGTGTACTTGTCAGCAAATAATAGTGCCAGGAAAAGTATTTACACAAAAATGCTATTGTTATTAATCACTATTTACATTCGACTTGCCTTTCAGCAGGTTCAGCTGCAGAAATAAAAATGGGTCCAACCCCTAATATTATTCTATATTCGCCTGTATTCCTTGTAGTCAGTGTGTTAGGTTCTCTCCTCAAGCCTTAACGGATGCCAGGTGAACTGATGGGCTTTTTATGTCTGGGAGTGATTACATCCTTGCAGGCAAAACAGAGTACCCAATTTCTTATTATCTTGCTTTCTATACAGTGGTATACTTGCCATGCTCACGGATAAAGGCTTATATAATGTACAAAACAAGATTCTAGGTATCATTTACCAAAAATACACCATTTCCATCCTGCACTGAGCAGATTTACTTTTCTGACATTGCAGAGTCGGGTTGTACCTCCGGCACACAGAGCACACTACAGGCACATGTTGGGCACAAGAGCTGGAGACAGAAGAGACAGAAATGTGTGTCCCCGGGCTGCTTGCAAACTTAAGATGCTTCTGTTAAATTTGCATAATGTCTCTCGATAAGCATCTCCTGCCTGCCAGGGAGGAGACACACACCTGGATGACTACCAGAGCTGCAGTCACGTAGCACAGCTGGCCAGTCTGCAGCATTCAGGTTTTTAATGTTTGTTTGCCTAATTATTGCCGCAAGTGGGTGACTGGGATTTTTTTCAGGACAGTAGCAGCAGATGAGACAAGGAAGAAGCAGGGAGAGTTGCCTGTGTTTTAGCAGAGTTCGTCCCGAGGGGGTTGTGTGTTTTATTGATCTCTGTGTGCTCCGTCTCAAAGCAGAGGAAGGACTGGTAAGAGATTCCATTTTAGGGATTTGGGGCTTTACTTTCTTCACATTTTGCAGTAATCTGATGTATTATTACATTTCACAAAATCGTTGTACCTTCAGTTATTTAAAGAGAAAATATTAGAAGATCAGTGTACGAAGGATATCATTAGAGTTTAATGGGTTGTAAATTTGCATCCCAAGAGTGGGTCTTATTTTTTTTCCAGTGTTCATAACGTAAAGAGATTCACTGTCTATACTGAGGAATTATCAAGGCTTTTCTTACCTTCCTTAGGATCTTTAGAAGAAATAGAACTTGTTTATTTTCCCAAGCAGAATAGATGTCTCCCTGCCTCCCCTTTCAGCTTTCCGATCCGGATGAAGTACAGATGACAGATGCAGAGCAGTTTCTAGACTCCTCGGCATGGGCTACTAATGCCATCAGTGTCTCTGGGGTCTCCTGAGGACAGACAAATGAATCCTGCAAAACCTGATCTCTCGAAAAAAAAGGCTGTCTTGCTGACAGGCCTGCCAGCTCGTATCATTAGCAGCAGCAAAGGGGAAGTCAGTGCTATGGGACCAGCCAGCTCTAAGGACTGTGATGGACAGGCACGAAGACAGAAGCTATCAGAAAGCTCTGGGCAGCACGCAGTGTGCAGCCGAGGCGGCACGAAGCCTCTGCCCATTTGTACACTGAATGGGGGCAAGAATCTAACAAGATTTTGCCCGTGGCTATCTTCCTTAATGGGCTCTTAAGGGAGACTTACTAGTCTCCCTTAAAAAAAAAAAATCCGGATATGGTATGACTACATTCTCCTTTATTAATAAATTCAGAGAACTGAAAAGGTCAAAGGGGCAGTATTTCCTTCAGAGAAACCACATTGATTTGACTCTTTCCATCATGTTGGTTAAATGCCTCAGGGCACCGTTGCAACGGAACTAAATCTTGCAACCCCTTCGTACTGGTTGATCATAAAATATGAACAAATGTGAATCAACATAAAACGTGAAACCAACATAAAACATGGGCCAATGTGACCCTCATGAAGTTCAGGAAGGCCAAGTGCAAGGTGCTGCACCCAGGTCGAGACAACCTCCAGCATCAGCACAGACTGGCAGATGAAGGGACTGAGAGCAGCCCTGCAGAGAAGCACTTTGGGGTACTGGTAGATGGAAAACTAGGTATGAGCCAGCAATGTGCACCCACAGCCTAGACAGCCAACCGTACCCTGGGCTGCATCCAAAGAACTGTTGCCAACAGGTCCAGGGAGGTGATTCTCCCCCTTCACTCCTCTCTCATGAGACCCCACCTGGATACTGCCTCCAGCTCTAGGGCCCCAGCACAAAAAAAGAAAGGACCTATTGGAGTGGGTCCAGAAAATGGTCAGAGGCCTGGAACATTCCTCCTGCAACAAGTAGCTGAGAGACTTGGGCTTGTTCAGCCTGCAGAAGCTCCAGGGAGAACTTATTGTGGGTTTTCAATACGTAAAGGGGGCTTATAAGACAAATGGAGTGAGACATTTTACCAGGCCTGTAGTGATAGCATGAAGGGTAACAGTTTGAAACTACAAGAGGGTAGATTTAGATTAGGTATAAAGAAGAAATTCTTTACAATGAGGGTTGCAGTGACAATGACCACTGCAATGTTTGGTAAGTTTCAGCTAAAATCATTTAATAATTTCTGAAAAGTTAAGTAAGTTAACTAAGAACATTAAGAAAAAAACCTGCTTGTTTTGTTTAAAATTATTTGTTATTTTGCTGACCATTTTTTTAATGAAGTTTTAGTATCCTCATGCATTTGGAGCAGTGGCTTTCAGTTTTTCTGAATTATGTCAGCAAAACACCACTGTAACTTGCTCTTCTTCCCTGATGTTTTCTATACAGAAGTTTTAGCAGTTTTGGCACATGGATCTGATTTGTAGCAGAAGGCACAGTTTAGACCAACTTCTCCGAGGTCCAAGAATATTCTGTAGGGTCTTCCTTTCACTGGCATTGTGAGAACCTAGCAACCAAAAAGCTCCGGCATTGCATTCAGGCAAAGAAAACCCAGCTTTCCTCAACTCTCTTTCCTTTGCAGGAAGGTGGAGCTTCACATTTCACATCTTCTGACAAAGTGGTCACATGAGCATCCTGGTGGATAACCAAGTCACCATCCCTTATTCTAGAGAGAGGTAAATTAAAATATCCTTGTCGTCTTCTGGAATGAAGGTGTTGTTCAGTTGCACTTCATTTAAATCATGCCCAGCCTAACCTGCACAAGAGCTGATAACTACCATAAAAAATTGGCTCACAGGACATCACAGTTATCCAAATATACCATTCAAGAAGAATAAACTTCAGTGTCTTATTTGACTCCTTGTCATGTTCACGACAATCAAAACCAGAAATGGACTCAAAACTACCTATTTGGTAGCAGCTAAACCTTGACAGGCACATCTCAGAGAGCAAACAGAGGAATGTCCTGCAGAGATGTGGAACAGCAGCAAATATCTAGCAGTCAGGCAACAGCCAGCTGGTGGGGCAAGCTACTTGATGTGCAGTGAATATACAGCTATTTTTAACAAGTGGCACAAAGACTTCAGGATGCAGGTACAAGAGAGAATAAGGTTTATAGGAAGTCCTGCTGAGACCTACGACAGCAAATACACACTTTAATCACAAGCTTGATAGACAGTTAATCTGTTGGGGGAACTACAAAGATTTGCCACGTATTATTTACCATTTCATTATAATTTATCACTGGATAGACAGTATTCAGACTATGTTTCATTTAAAAAAATAACTACATGACTCAGTGCTATTTTCCCCTCATGGTGATTACCCCGCTTTAGGATGGGCATACTCTGGTGGAGAATGCACCAGGTGGACGCTTCGTTTGTTGCAGAAGATGCGAGGTGGATGAGATGGGACCACAAAATAGTGTTACAAGGCTAAGGGTCAATTGCTGTTGGGGAGAACTGGGCACTGTCATTGCCCCTGTGCGATAGCAGGAAAACCATTAAATGAAACATTTCATATTGCTTTTTCCCCTTAGTTTTTGGGCGTTTGACTTGCCAAAGTCACTCCAGTTTGTAAAGCTGAGGATTTGGAGCTGAAGCTTGAGCAAATGGGAACACTGTTTGAGATGCTGAAAGAGCTAAGTGCTCTGAAGAGGCAGGTACAGACAATCTCACCCGTTCTGTTCAGGCTCTGCCTCAGCTTCTCACTGTAAGATGGGAATAGTTCCACCCTCACATTCCTCCAGGATACTGTAGAGACACTTTGTGAAGCCATCCGTGACGAGCACCACAGAGAAGCTCATCAGGGAATAGCTCTACATTGAAAGCAGAAATTTGTGAGTAAATCATGCCCGGGGCTGCACAATGAATAAAGACACCAAAATAGTATCGAGTAACTGCTCATTAACTGAGCATTGCCTATACTGGGCCTTGTGGGAATTCCTGCAATGGCAATCTAGAATAGTAGTGCATACAAATGAGACAGGCAAGTAGAAAATGCATAAGCAAATTTAGCTCTGACATTTCTTAAATGAATGCTTAACTTAGCTTCTTTAACGATCTTTTAATGTATTTTTTGCCTTTATTCCGATTCTGTTTAAATATCCTCAAATGTGTTCACAACCTTGTTGCAAGTATTTGTTTAGCTGGTATGGGCAGAACTGTAAAGAAATATAATCACTTTTACGGCCTTCTAATTTCTCATGAATAGATATCTCACAGTTGCTCTCTACAGTTATTTCCCAGAGTCTGCAGCAAACTCCCAGAACAAAACACGCATATGCTGTCTGAGAAAGAAGAAAAGGCCTCAGAGAGGCTATTATCTATAGCATTCTTTATATTCTCAAAGTTTCTGTTAGGTATTTTTTCATGAGAATCTTAGCATCTGAAGATTTTTCACTTGATCTTTTAAGGATATGACTAATATATTCATATCAGCACTGCAGAGATAGATATATATATAGGAAATCTGTGTGTTGTGTTCTGATGAGAAGGATAAAAGCTGGTGTGCTCTCCAGGGGGAAACCTCTCAGACAAGAATCAGGACAAGAACCAATGGTAGTGAACAGTCTTTGCAACAAGAAAATTAAGGATAATTTTACAGCCAAAAATCACGTGAGCCACACTTTCCAGAGAGAGGCTGTTACACTGTAAAGATCTTTAAAGTCACTGCTACTTGAAAGGTTTTTAAAAAGTCACAATGGTTCTTTTCTATAAAGTTTGGCTCATTCCTTCCTTTCACTGAAAAAACCTGCGCATCTCTTTAGAGCATGCTACAGAAAGAATGAAGGGCTGAGGCACCCAGCCTGAAGTTCAAAGGCACAACAGGATACGGTACAGAGAGAGGCTACACAACAAACAGATTTTGTGGAATGGGTGGTCTTTTGAAACACATCCTTATGCCACGCTTAGTGCGTTTTCTGTAAAATGCTTTCTAAGCGAAGGCAGTGACCTAAGCTCTCTTCTGACTGTTTACTTATGCCATGGCATACGAGGAAGTATATGGCATAGACTCCAATAATTGGGAAAAAAAAACCCACCCCAAAACAGAAAAACCCAGCAGTCAGGAGCAAAGTTTGAGTGCGAAGGAGAAGTGAGGCTGTCAGTGACATGAAAGCTGTCGCACGGGGGCCAGCGTGGCCCTAGAAACAGGCCTCAGTGCTGTTTGTGGCCACATCACCTGATCAAGGCAGGAAAAGGCAAAAGCGTAGGTGGTGGCACAACCGGTTGGACAGTGGCAATGAAGAACAGGCATCCAAGTTACATGCAAAACTGCAAAATGAAATTCAAGATGGGAGTAGGCAGCAATTCCAACTGATACACCCAAAGATTTCCACAACTTTTAAAGCTGCTTTTTTTAGCTAGACATCTGGCCTGTTTAACCAAATCACATATTTGGCTTTTTTCTTTTCCTGAACTGAGAAGCCTGGAACTGAAGGGTAAGGCTGCACCACACCGCAGCAGTGCCACAGCCACGGGTGACACCTTACACGATGCAGACCACAGGAACAGAAGTGCTGTTTCCAAAAGTATGGGTATTCATTTAAAATCCCCCTTTGAGGTCACTTCTAGTTGACGTTGATATTTTTTCTCTTTCAGCTGGCTGTTTATCACTTTATCAGTAGATGGCAGTAATAGACGATCCTGTGCAATTTCTACTTGTAACAGGAATTTGGGAAAGAAAAGACCCTATTTTAGGGCAAAGCTGCTCATTTTGTTTGTTCACAAGTGTGAGTGGTGTAAATGTACTCGACAAACTCAGACACACATCTTCCCCTAACAGACAGAAAAATTGTTCCCATACCAGTTCTGCTATTTATGGCTGTACTTAATTTAATAGTGCTATAAATCTGAATTCAATTAGATACACAATATTTATTGCAAATATCATTCTCCCAAAAGATTAAATATATGGATGCCTGTAATATTTGATATAGCACTTATTCTGGTAGTTTTGCCCACTATTTTTCACACATTTCTGTACTATTTGAGTCTAATGACTTTAAGTATTATTAGCTTTCAGTATAAGAAACATCTATTTCTTAGGAATCACTCCTCCCCCAAGTTTTCTTTAGTCTCCTTGAAGACACAAATCCAGATTCTGATGCAGACTCAAAGAAGAGCCATAACTATGGCATTTTCTAGGACAATTACGTACACAGATTTTTACCCCTGAACAATGAACAGATAGGAAAAACTACATAGTGAGGTCCTCGCAAAGTACATCTTTTGCTAGTCCTTTGATATCAGAAATCCAACAGGACAAATTACTGCTATATTAACATTTCAGGCTTTAAAATGCACCTTTACAGACCGTTGTTTTTAAAGTATTCTTTCCTTCTGCTGGAGCTGATCCTATTGTAATTTACTGCAAAAATGCTTTGTTATGATGTCCTTCCAAATCAGTTGGCAACACCTCCTATATTTACCTTTGTGTCACTAACAGCAAAGTCTGCATTTATTTTAATCTATGGTGTGGCCTAGAATAGCTTAATTTAAACTTCCTTCCATTTTTTCCCCTTCTTTGACCACAATTTTGTAGAGGCTAGCTTAAAAATCTTGCCAAGCTAAGCCCACTGCTACTAATTTAATATGTGCTGTAGGAAGCAAAGAAGGGGACTTTGGAATATAATAGAGAGGAGGGAAATAGTTTTCAGTATTGCAGTGATAACATTTTAAATTAAAGGTAAACCAAGGAGATTAATCTGAGGAATGCAAAAAAGCTGGCCCCCCCAAGCATTACTGAGACATTGCAATTTACCATTAACCCACCATTGGGAAGTGTCATTTCATCACAGCAAGCAAGCACTAGGATATGAAGAAAGAATTGCTAGTAATATGTCCAAAACTTCTTGAATCCAACTTCCATTCTGAAGTTCTCATTCCGTGAGATGACAGCACCAACTCACACAGCAAGCAGTCAGCATGCATTATTTTCTGGGCCTGAAATAAAAAGTGACAGGCTTAATGGCATATGAAATAAAACAGAGAGTGAGAGGAGTACAATGCTGGGAGCGTAACAGGCCTGGTCTTGTTCTCATTGAAGTTAGTGGGAATCAAATCAGGCAGTCTCATGAAAATAAAAACTCATTGCTTCAGCCTACAGGATACCTTCCTGTCAGACAAAGCCACATTTTGGAGGGCTTTTTTTTTTTTTGGTAAATCATGCTATAGTTCATGATAAAATATGTATTTACTTCTAGAAAAGTCCAAGTATTTTCAGATATTTTTGTGTAGAGTTTGAGGCAAAATGTTTGAGCATGAAACTCAGCTATCAATAGCAGATTATCTAAACCATCTCAAAGGTTCAAGCAACAAAAAATGTAATAAAGACATTTTATGGTTTGGAGGGATTGAAGGAAAAGACATTCTTTTCAATTTTGAGTTGTGGATCAAGCTGGCATAAAAAACCCAAATGATGCCACTCTCTTCAGAGAATCAGTATTTTGATGGTGTTCTTGAATAAAGCCATATATTCTTATGTGATCCAAAGGTGTTACAATTATTTTGAACTCCTGATCTTCCAGGTGCCCACCCCCACCCCTTTTTTATCCCCCTTAAACCAGCAATTTGCCAGTAGTACATATTCATTCAAGGAACCAATAAATAAGGCCCAATTATATTGCAGAAAGCTTACCTGTTTTCCACTGAGTTATCATATTGTTTAACCTCTTCAGATACATCATAGACATCTGCTAAGATAAATACACAATTTACAGTACTCTATGTCATTTCCTTTTTTTTAAACTAGAAGTATGAAACCATCTTAATAGATACAATATTTTTTTTTACCTGATTAGGTTATGAACCGATGAAAGAAACCACAAATATGACAGTCAGCTATTAAAAACATAAGAAGTCCAACACTTCACTACTTCAGGAAAAATTTTGGAGAAAAATCTTAAGTCCAAAATAATGACATTCACCTCTCCTGAAAAAAATAATACCAGATCTTTGTAAATGCAGCTCTTGTAACTAGCACTGCTCAAAACTACTGTGAAATGTTTCAATCTCAGGACCTCAGATGCTAATGTTAATTGGAAACAGAAAGCAAGCTGCTTGCAATACTGTAATAAGCTGTGGCAATTTTGTTATTTTAGATGGGAATGTTAATGATGAGCCACAAATGCAAGTTGTTACAAAGCCTTTGAGAATAAAGCTGTATGCCCTATATTCCCCTCCCTTGCTGTTCCAGTTAAAACCATACATGCGGAAGGACAAATGAAAATGTTGCCATGGTGATCAGAGCAGTTACCAAATCATGTACAGTGTAGGAAGGATTCCCTAAAGAACCTTATTAAGCATTTTGTTGGTCCTTTTTAACAAATATTTTCAGAAAGCCATTTTTATTCCACTGTCAATAAAATAGCTACTCAGTTAGCTAAAGCCTATTTCTCAACTCTCCCAAAATAAATGTGAACACACAGTGCATTAAGAAATATTTTTGTTAGGAATGGGAATCTTAAGCTGAAAACTTCAAATTAGGAACCAGGGAAGAACCTAGCCAAGACAAGATCTGGTCAAGACATTTGAATGTTTCTCAGAATAGGTACTATGAAGCAGCTTTGTGCCTATTAAACTATGCATGTCTTCAGCTGCCAAATTAAAACCCAAACCTTTAAATGAAAGACATCCCAAAAGCCTATTGGTTAGAAGGAATATAATTTTTTTACAATAATATTACAGGAAGTAAATTAACATGGAGGTTGCGTGTTAGGCAGATGCGGTGAATGAGATGGTCACCAGCAGAACCACAGTCCAAAGCCATCAGTCTGTTGCGACCAGACTGGCAGCTGAACACAGTTGGGTGCAACGCATTATCCAAATTCATTGGCAAAGAAAAAAACCCAACACTTGTACAATGCAGGCATCTTGTATTTTCACTGCACAAAACAGCACAACAAACATTGATGGAAACTGCTAAAAATAAGCTGGACCAGGTATGTGCACTTTGGGCTAAACACAAATGGCTTCATTCACCAAACTGCCCTTTTTTAGCACATAAATTCAGCATTTAATTATATCCCAAGGTCCTCAGTTCCCCAGCTAGCCTTTGCCTTGCAGGTCTTTAAGACACTCATGGAACACGAGTTTGTGCAGCGGCAGCACGCTGCAGTACGGGGGGCTGCTCTCCACTCAGCCAGACTAGTGCCGTTCTCCAACAAAGCTGTCTCCTGCCTGATGTGTGGGGCTGACTTCACAGGCCTTGCCAAGGAGGGACGTTCCCAGCACATTGACACACTGCGCACATAAAGTACTGCAGTGAGGGAACTCTCCTAATATATCACACCAGAGAGGAGCTTTCTTTTTTCTTTGAAGGAGAATAATTTTTTTTGTAAAAAAAGAAGTCGATACCATAACGGTTGCTTCCATGAGATGCTTTGATTTAGCTTGATTTTACTCAATGAAGATGACAGATCAGTCATATTCCATACCTCACTCTTCCTATCGCTGACTTTAAACAAAGTCAAAACAAAAAAAACTTCCCAGAATCTCCACATTACTTGCTGGTATCTCATGAATAATCTATGGCTTCAAAATATAAAAACTTGTCTGCATATTCTAGAACAAACACTTCCATCCCCATAAAGTCTTGCTCTCATGGGCAACAGCATGTAGAGAGCTGCTTAGAAAGTGCAATCCCCCTCTCTGTACTGATTAGGGCAGATTTATACCCTCCACTAAGACCCTCCGGAACAGCTGATATATGACAGTTCAGTTTACTGTCTAAAATAATTTAGATCATTATCATTCAAAATAAGATACAAGCAGCCACGTTTTTCTGCAGTTTTATTGATGCAGCCCTGGTGTGTAACCATACATCTTCATTTTGCTTGTAGTTACAACTTGCTTTACTAAGATTGTTTTTGTCATCAAGTTTATTACAGTCTTCACAAAACATATTTATAAACACCACTTACTGTATAAGACTGATTGTTCCAAACATCGTAAATCACTGGCAATTTTTCCTAAATAGTGCTACTTGAGGAAAGGTCACACTACTCTCTTTAGGTATAAATTTGTAAAAGCAAATGAATTAAATTCACCTTCCAAAGAAAATAAGAATGTTAAAAATAGCTTCAGAATCAGTATGACTCATTTAGGTCTCAAAAAAATCTATTACTGGCAAAGATACCTACAATTTGATACTGTACTCAATACTTTCATTAAGACCAAAAGAATCGTTATGAAGAACTGAAATTAAACTTGTACATTGGCCTGAAAGATAAGGATTAACTTAGACTTTTTAGGATTCTTTTTTACCAGGAAATGCACTACCTTCTAAAAATGTTGCAGTTATAGGCCAAGTACTGATATCTAAAGAGAAAAATGTTAAAACTAAAACCATGCAACATAGATACCAAATTGTAGCAGAAGACATTTTTAATTGAAAACTGACTCAAAGGATAGTACAAAAGAGTTTCTTCTCCCTAAAGGGATTTTCAGATGCAGGCACAGGAATAATAAGGGGATCTTCTCCAATATGAGCATCACAATATGCCAATAAATCTGCTGCAGCCTTGGATACCTAATAGAAGAGAAGAGAAAACTACTGTAACACTTAATTCTGAACCAGTCAGCATTGCATAAATATTCTTCATATACCATACGACAAGGGAGGGTATCATAAAATAGATCCTTTAGATTACTAGGGCCCACAACTCTGAATTTGCTCTTACTAGGGCTAGTAATCCTTATATACATTTGATTTAACGTAGCGACATGAGATGGTATCAATTTATATGATTCGTGTTAAGCTGCTCCTCTCCATCAGAAGGAAGGCAAGGAGCATACACCCATTAAAACATGTATATGCTAACATCCCATAAGCAATAGGAATTCTTGAAGTGTGGGTTTCTGTAGGGGCTGCCTGCTTCAGCTCTTATTCGCAGTCAGAATAGAACAGAACAGCAAGGTTGTAAGGTTTTCCACAAACACTCTCTCTACCCTTTGCTCCTCTGGACGCAAAACAAACAAACAAGGAAAAAAATTCTTTAGGCACATGACCATGGGGTTAAAAAGAAATAATAAATCAGGAGCAAAACTTGATCATCATCTCTCATACCTCTCATTTCAGCTAAATATTGCTCTTTTCAATGAAGTCAGACTAACATCTTCTGCATAGCAAGTTATTATAAGTAGTACTTTATTCACAGTATTAATTTGAACTGGAGCACTACCTCAATATTTTTTATCTTAATATTTTTATTAGTCTAAAATGAACAATTCTAAAGTCTCCAAATTCAGAATGTTGGTTTGTGCTTACTAAAAAGTCCTACAGAAATATAATAGTGTGCTGGAATACAAGATGTCTTGCATGAAATGAAAAAGGAAATATTAAACCATTTCAGCTGTAGCTGAAACCAGCTTTGTTGGTTTCAACCAACAAAGGCACAGCTTTGGCACAGCTTTGTGCCAAAAGAATACTGGTGAGATTAGGCCACTGTGACTATTTATTTTTTAAAAGAATTTAGAATATATATATAAAATAGGTTTTTTCTGCTCAGTTAACAAGATATTTACAACTATATGTATCTCCTTGCTTTGTTTAATTATTGCGGTTTTAATATTATGAGACAGTTCAGAAAATAAGACAGGAAGTCTTTACAAAAAACGCCTTTTCCCTGAGCACCACGACAGCTTCTCCCAAGTCAAACACTGAGGTCAGCACGTTTACACAACTATAGTGAAGAGGAAAAATAAAACAGATTTCTGGTATTTTTCTAGCAGGTGTGTCATCACTGTTAGCTTTAGCTTCCCCACACCCTGCTTGCTTTGGCACGAGTCCAGCCTGTAGTAGGTTTCAGATTAGACCTATGAAGTCAATGGGCGCTGGAGGAGGATTCACATGAATTTTAAATTAACCTCTGGAAGAAAATAACTGCCTTTTTATTTTTTAAATATCCACTAAAAATATGGCTTTGTGGAATGCTTAAACCCACGAACTACCTATAGTTGGCATCCCAGTATAGACTGTGCTCCTAACAGAGGAAGCTAGGGTGTTTAGGTTACTCAAAATTAGTTTGCCTTTGAATTGGCCTGTAGGACAGAAGGGTGGGCAGAGACACTGCATGTGAACAACCAATTGTTGGACCAATGTAAAACAGAAGACTGAGCACTAAACTGAGCAAATTAGCAGAGAGATTCAGAAGGACCAGTGCTTCTCAAAAGAGAAGCACGTCAAACAAAAAACCTGTGGAAAACGACAGCCTTCAAGTACAAAGAAAGGGCTGTAATTATTATCAGACGTATGTAAAAAGCAGATTCTCCAAAGAAAGGCACAATGTAGCCAAACTATGAAATTCCTATCAAGCCCAAGAAAGATCAAAAGACAGCAAACACACTTTTCTTTGCTAATGACCTGTGCTGTCCCTCAGCAAAGTATAAACTAGCACAGAATGCACCCACAGAAGAGGGGGTTAGCATGTTTCCACCAACGTTAGGAGGAATGTATCGCCACAGCATTTTGGAAAAGTACTTTCAAGTAACAACAATCACCAGTACATTCATCATTATTTAACGTACACATTTTCACTTTTCTATTGTCCTTCAAGCTCAGCAGCATGTCTCAAATTAAGGCAATTCTGTGCTCTAATTAATTTATTAGCTGGTCCTGAACTCTTGCATTCAAACAGAGCAAGTCAAACTCAGAGCCACAGGTGCCTACAAAAAGCCCAATGACACTTTCAGTGCTACAGCATAATAAGCATTACTGCCATAAAACGTAATAGAGAGCTAGTCTAATCCTTTGAGTCCCAGAGACAGGGTTTATTAAAGATGCCCAGCACATTTCATCTTCCATTATTAAGCTACTGAATAAGTTATTTTATTCATGAAACCAACATGAGTGGACTAACCCTATAGGAGCAGAGAACCAATGCTGGACTTCAACAGACTGACCTTCCCATAACAATCTTGTTTGTTCCACCTATGAGTAAGCAGCACCGAGCCCGAGTATATTGCCTTTTGTTCAATGGAAAAGAAGTACAATTTCAATCACCATTCTTAGAAGCAATAGACCCAGTAACATAATTTTCTAACTCTTCCTCTACATATTACTGTGCTTTGACATCATATAACAATAAAAAGGATTTTCACTAGCAAAAGCATAACACACATTTTTGTATCTGACTTCTTCTCTAATGTGCTGATAGGAATGCCAAATATCATGAAGCAGAGCACTTTATTCAACACCACAGTGTTTAATTCACAAATTATTTTGCTTTAAGACAAACCATAACTGAGGAACACAATCACATTTCAGCACATTGTCACTAACTAAACATGTATTTTCATCCTTTAAAAATAAAAGGTTTGGGGAGGAGAAAGCCTCCCATAGGGATTACCGTGGCTAAAAAATTGAATTATGGACATTTCTTCACCTAAACTGGAGTAGCTCAGGCTCGTGCAGTGGAACGATGACCATTTGCTAAAGGGACTTGCTAGCTGATTCACATTCCAGGAGCAAAGAAAACATTGGTTACTGTGGCTGTGAGTAGTGTTGGCAAAGTCAGAACTGTGGCCCAATAAAGAGCAAAACACAGAGTTGCCTCCAGCAAGTTTCCTGCTCAGTGTTGTTATTGGGAAGGACAGTGGTGGCAGAGCTCTGCGCTCAGCATCGCATTAAGGCTACGGCAGAGAGGGCTGCTTTAGCCTGTGTCAGCACACAGAGGGTGTCTAATGGCCAATACTGAGGTTTGTTACTATACAAAATAATGTGCTGATCATCTTACTTGTGTCATGGAGGAAGTTAAATGAAGGCCACTCTATCTCACCTTTATTTGTAGCTGAATGCTGCTGGACAGTTTCAGAATAGCTTTTATCAAGAATTAAAATAAATGCATGTAATTTGAATATTCAAATGAAGGTAGCACATTTATCATTTCCGCTTTCCAACACAATACAGCTTGGTCTGCAGATTCAAAGTAATTTATACATATTGCAGAAGTGGCTAAAGAAAAAGATTAGACTCCAGTTTGATGAATTCTAACAGAAAGTTAACACTTCATTTTTTTTCATCTTTTAAAGTGCATAGATAGAGGGGATGGAGTATAAGCATATCACGCATCCCACATTTTATACAATTATTTTTATTCCACGTAGTAAAAAATACATCTGGTTGTCAAATTACCAAAATTAAGAAAAAAAAACAACAACCCAACCAACAAAACACTCAACCTTGATGCTTTTAAGAACTAGTCTTAGGAGGACCGTGGAATTTTACCATTATATTTCAAAATAACAGAGGTGATAAAAACAGCCAAAGTTAGAACATAATCCTGTTAGCTGCACTAATAATTATAAGCTTCAATGACAAGGCAAAATGCTGCAATTACTATGTCATCTGTCTTGTCGCGGATTGTGACTAATTACCATCCTTGCTATGACACCCACTCTGCTTATCCTTTATATCTAAAACAAAGAGATTCACACACATTTATTGGCAATCCCACTGCTTATCTCCCAACACTATTCAGAAACAGTTAGGAATATTTTCTATCTTCTTAAGAAAAAAGAAAATGGAATAATAACTGATACACCATGATCCTTAAATGTCAGGGCACTCCTTCTTGCTTTTCTGCTTGCAAAGAGAAGATTAAATAAAGCTTTATTCTGGGGACAACTGTAATAAAGCACCAATATTATTTTTGCTTTCTCAACTTTACTGCTAGCATCTTTGGAAGACACATTATTCTGCTAGTTGTGAGGTCACTGTTCATCTGATTTCATCTAATGTTTCTTAGCTTGAAATCTGCACTTCCTGCTTTCTACTGACTTGTCCATTATAATTCTAGCCATCCCTTCTGTGGGGAAGTAAGACAAGTCCAGTTTATGATCCTTCTGGGTTTCTTATGGTTTACAAAAATCCACCACAGTAATATTCCTTCCAGTTACTGATCAGTACACCTGTAACTTCACCCTCCCCTTTTAAGTTGTCCCGTTTTTTTCACACCTCAGCAGCAAGCTGTCTTTGTGGAACCTCAGAACACTACATTGCTCACTGCTCTGACTGGTTATAGGACTTAATTTTTACATCAGTTGAAAAATCCAGAATACAGCAGGGAATGGGCAACTATCAACATACTTCTAACTACTGGACTTTAATTGAGCAGACCAAACTCACGCTGGATACAGCATCTACTATGCATGGAAAACAAAACACCTTTGTAGTAGAAAAATGAGCTGGAACTTCTGATTTCCCTAGCCAATAATGCAGACACCTTGAAAATTTCCTTTTTAATGTTAACAATGTGGTCTTGTCTAGTATGGGAATAACCACTTGGTTATAGCTACTTGTAAAACAGTGTTTAATTACATTATTTGGAAAGCACTGATCTTCTGTTAAATGTCTATCTATCTAGTCTAAGCAGATGCAAAACACCAGGAAAAAAAAGGAAGTTCATTTCTCTACCTTTACAGCTATGATCCGGGAATGCAAAATCTCCTGTTGAAACCACTCAAAAGTCTCTTGGTAAAATCTGGCTACACTGAAACACACACTTAACTGTTTCCAAGAATAAAAAGTGAAGCAGATTTTGAGGGAATAAAAAGCAAATCAATCTCTTCTCACAATCTTTCATGCAATTGTTCAAAGAAGATCTAGAAATTAACCTTTCAACCTTTTGCAAATCATATTTGATTTATGTCAATATAGGGACCCTCAGAATACTGAAACACATTAGATATTCTTTGGTGCCTTTTTGGTCCCTAGCTGTTTTGGAAGGTGAAATAGAACCATAGAATTGCCTAGGTTGAAAGGGACCTTTCAGATCATCTAGTCCAACCGCACTTTCAAGCTAGCTGGTTTTTAGGTCTGCCACAGTTGCTAATAACTGTTCTTTTTAATTAAACTATAAAAATAACCTATGTCGTTGTTACATATGTATTTAAGAACTTCATACATCTAGCTGATGAAGCTATCTGCATAACTGAGCTAACAATGTGGTATGTGACATTTATCACTGATTCTATAAAAGCAAGTTTAAGACAGTCCACTAAGTATAACAATTTCAAATTCCAATAAACTGGGCCATGTTTTTCCAACCCTTTCCTCTGCCACTTGTGCACACCCGTTCCTTCTAGTCAGTTTTGTTGTTCCTGCAGCTGCAGTATGACCTGAATCATTCAACACTGACAAGGCAGATCTTCCCTTACTGAAGGAAAACAGAAATACCTCTCACTGTGAACAGGCGTCTACTATGTGATGAATTTGCCAAGACATTATACAAGATAGAAACTATAGTTTTGCAAATTCAATGGTCTTACAAGGCGTTGCTGTAAAGTACAACAAAATGGAGCAACTGAAATTTGTATTTGCATATAAGCAAGATTGACTATTTGTGGAATATACTGATATTTCTGAATTATAAATACTATCTTTCAAATTATTGAGTTTATGATCTGATACTATTTTAAAATTGTAATTATATACTATTGCCCCCATGCTGACTACACACAGGATTTCGGCACACAGGATGGATAGACAGACTGAAGACTGTGAACATGCTGAAGAATGAAGAATTTAATGTACAGCATTTCTAAACTGTCTTCCCGAGTTTGTAACCTCAGTTACAGTTTGTAACAACTCAGTTACAGTTGTTTGCAAAAAACCCGATTATTTACATGCATTCCTTTTTCTAGTTTTCCATCTCTAAACTCTTCTCACTTGCAGAGGCTGGATTTTTCATCCAAATAATTATTCCCTATTTTCAGAGGCAGAACGAGAGAGCAAGCATGCATGAACAAAACTTAAATGTCGTTTTAATGACATTATAAGTTTTTAGGTGCTCAACTTATTCACAAGTTTTTAGCCTTGTGAAAGGCAGAATGACAGGGAAGAATAATCCCACAGGCTTTTCTGGTTAAAAATGTCAAGAACCTCTGTTTAATAGTGCTGTTAGTTAAAACATTTAATCCACATACATTTAGAGGCATGATAAAACTGGATCTTCACATATAACAGGCTATCAAGCGTGAAGAATCATAACTGAACATTGCAATCATACATGTTTTTTGTGCAATGATGTCTGTGCTAAAACAAAACAAATCAAAGCAATTTAGCTCATCTCATCGTTATTCAAAAGTATTGCAGTATCTTACAGATTTATTCTAGTTCTTAAAGGACAGCTTACCTTACCACCAAGAAACCTGAGCTGCACCTTATATTCAGCAACAGGTGAAAAAGAACACCTGTGCATCTGCCAGCTGATTGTAAATATTTTGCAAAAGACTGCTTTTGACAGAGGTAAAAGGCACTTATACAGAAGCAGACTAGAAGCCAGTCTTTGAAAATTACTTTGCTAGAGCCAAGCAGTTAGCATGTAACTAATTCACAGTACTGAATACTGTTTTATAGCTCAACATAGAATTTTGATTTCAGCTGATCAAGTCTCTCTGAAATATTAAAGGGAGGCTGCACCACAAAAGTGAATTCAAAATATCAACAATAAGTCTAAGTTTACCTTCATCCTATCCATGTATGCTTCCATTTTTAATTGCTCCACAGCTTTCCTGGCTTGAGATATATTGGTTGTACTGTTTGACACTAGTTCCTTCATTTTGTTTTTCCTAGAAGAGACGAAATTGAGACAATTTAAAAGCACAGGCAGCTACCTGAAATCTAACCAACCCTCGCCCCCCACATTGACACTGCCAGGTTTCAGGTCACAAACACAAACCAGACACCATTTATTTCTGTTCTTTTGTTCAATAGCACCTTACTGCATTACATATTTGCATCCTCAACTCTCAGCGTTCAGTTGGAATTCTGCAAACAACATAGAAATGCAGAGTACGTGGCCATTATTTCAGTGTAGAAATGGTTGCCCTGGTTCAGATTGCCAACGCAGAACAGCTGTTTGCAGACCTTGCAGCCGTTGCGCAGTTTGTATCCATACCCCAGTTACACCCAGTAACACTAAAACAAATTTGGAAATGCCCACAATGGAAATGAATGCTGCACTGCTCCCATCAAGCATCAGAAAGAGAGAAGTTTTAAGACAGAGAATGAGTCACAATTCTGACTAGAAATTTAAGGAGTTTAAGAATGAAGTAACAGATTAAGAAGAAATAATGCAGTGGTTTCCAGCTTTCTGCTTACACATCCCCAGTGAAGTCTAAAGATGACTACAAACCAGTAGAGTATACTATTAAGTATAGGAATTAATTATTTTTTAAGAGATTTGCAGCCTTTAGAAAGGGACATCTAATTAAGGTATGTCAGTGTTTGGTTTTCTAGTACTGCTACTCCCCAAGGACTTGAGGGTAAGTCAACTCGTTATCATGCAGTTCTCAGCATTGTTACCAGATGACTACATTCAAACCTTGAATAAACTTACAACATAGATGCCCTAGGTGGTCTGCACATCAGGAGACCTCGCGCTGACACCATTATGCAGTGCTCGTCCAGCACAAGTAACAGTTACGATCTTGAAGTCACTGGAAATTGGGCTAAGCCCACATGGAAAGAATAGGATACAGACAACCTAGACAAGCCCTGGACTAGTCAATAAGACCAGGTGCTGAGGTTTCCATCAGCCAAAACACTCAGTATATATGGTGTGCCACAAGTGCCACCTGAAGCAAAATGAGTCTAGCGCCAGGTGTTAGAAACCAATAGGAAGTTAGGCAACGTAAAGGACACACGGTGTGAGAATCAGATGGGATGCAGGAGAAAATACACAAACGGAGGTATTTTGTATTGCTGCCAAAAGAGTTTTTAGCTCAGGTCTTTCAAAATGAGTACTCTAAGCTTATTTCTGGACAAGAAGTAAACACCTAGAAGTACACAAATTTGTCTTTTTGAACCTCAACAGCTCACCTGATCCAGTCACTGTGGTATAAGATGCAAACAGGAAATTTAGTAGGACTCAGGAAATGCTTTTGCAAAAATAATAGTATATACAATGTCTTAAGAATTGTAGAGTCAACAGAAGTGTGCAATCTAGAATACAAAAAGAATGGAGAAGTAACTTTTAAATTTCTTTGATTTCGCAAAACACAGATGTTCAAAGACAAGGCAAAGATAGCTGTTCTCCAAATTCTACAAGTATGATGGTGAACTATGCTCAACACTGATTTGAAGAAGCAAACCCATCTTTTCCAGAACTTGCCTAAGTCTAGGCAGGGGAAATGTTACCTTAAAATATATTAATTATGCCAAATAAAACAAGACATTTAATACATGCCAAGACAAAGAACAGGTTTTCTGTACCCATGTGTGTCATTAGAATGGAACACAAGTTTCCTCCTTGCATACACTCTGACGAAGTAAAATCATGTCAGAACACAGTAGCTTTTTTTTCAGTTGTTGTCTTTGTCTTTGTTTACAATCTTTTAACCCGTATTCCTCACAAGGCACAGGATTAAATACATGTGGAGGAACTGGATTCGCATAAAATACTACGTACAGTAGAAAAACCCACAACTAACCAAACAATTTTCAGATGTGTTTTGACTTGTAGCGGACAAGCAGAAAGGACATGAGACATTCACAAGAGCAGAAGGTTCTGAATTAAAGCTCATCTCTGAACTTTTTTTGTTCGACCCAACCCCCTAGCTTTTCAGTCTTGACTTATTCATAACAATAAGAACAACCACATTTATCTTTGTTTACAAAATTATACCCCCCAAGAACAACCACATTTATCTTTGTTTACAAAATTATACCCCCATATGTATGAATCATTTAAATGATTAGTAGCTAGACTACTAATGACCACAGAGACAAAAAAGTCAAAGCTAAATGAAGTCACAGAGAAATTTCTACATTTGCCACAGCCCAAGTCCAGAGGCAAATTAGAAATTTAATTTTGAATAATATACTTATATTGAACTGAATTAAGCAGCTGAAACTCCATGAACAGTCCAGAGAATTCCAGATCTCCCAAGCTTTTCTGGCAATTCATTCACTCAAACCGTAAAAGTTATAAACATTAGAGGTAGACAATTTGAATTGTCACTTGCTGCATTGACGTTAGCAAGTATAGTTTCTAGTACTTGCAGCTAGTTTTTAAGTATCTACTGAAAAAGAGATTGAGTTAAGGCCATAATGGAATTTTGAAAAGGCTATCAGGCACAAAAATAATTTAAAAATCCAAACCATGTTTCCAAAACAATGCCACAAACATACTATGCCCTTACCTATATTCTGAAATGGGGAAAAACTTTTAAAAAAGAAATCATGTATCCTCTCTGGTAAACTATTTCATGATATCAGAAAACAATCAGAATAAGAGGCTTCATAAAAAGAACTTTAAAAAAGACAAAAGTTTGGTACTAGGCATTTCAGCCACTGGAGAAAATTTCCACTTATCCTGAGTAAGAGGTTTGTTTATACTCTGAAGCACAAACATTTGTTCTCTTCCAAATCCTGCTCCTACTCTGGCCTTTACACACACTTAAATATTTAACTACAGTATTTCTGGAAGTGCTTAGCACCCATTTAAGTATCTAATTGCTTTTTTTCATATAGACAGTTCTGGTTCCACAACTTCCTAAGACAGATTTCTCCCATTTGACATTTCACTTACCAAGCTACATATACGTTTGCCTTCTCTCACTCTCTGCTAATACAGTACATATTTGTGCATCAGTTAAGACCCTATTACATATGAAGTGATGTTGACAAAGAGAATCATATTCATTTTCAAACCAGGCTGCAATGAACTTTGCAGACAAAGCTTTGGCTGAGACCTGGTTCAGGTCTCCTTAGTACCTGTGATATTCTTTAATAACCTTAAGCTTAATACTTTTTAATGAAATAAGATTGTTACTTGGAAATAAAGCTCTAGAGAGAAAAGAAATTTTAATAAAAAGAGAGTCTATTACACACCCTCTCCCTGAACAACCATCCCCCAGAACGTGAGGAAGCCTCCTCCTTCAAAGACCGTCTCATGGGATCTCTCTCAGTGTTCCCTTCGAGGCTGCAGCCTGACAAGTGGCTCCAACCCTCTTTCCTAAGACAGCTCCTTTTAAACAGTCAAGTATTTTCAAGGCCCTTAGATCCTGGGAAGGCACAATTAGCTTTGTATTGTATCTAGGGGGCAGTTTACGGGATCACAGAATAGATTGGGTTGGAAAAGCCCTTCAAAGATCATCTAGTTTAACCCCCCCCATAATTAGCAGGGACTTAACTAGATCAGGTTGCTCAGAGGCCCATCCAACCTGACCTTGAATGTTTCCAGGGATGGCCTATCTACCACCTCTCTGGTAACTTGTTCCAGTGTTTCACCACACTCAGAGTGAAAAATATCTTCCTTCTATGTAGTCTAAATCTACCCTCTTTTACTTTAAAGCCATTACACCTTGACCTGTCACAACAGGTCCTACTAAAAAGTTTGCCCCCATCTTTCCTGTAGACCCCCTTTAAGTACTGGAAGGCTGCTATAAGGTCTCCTTGGAGCCTTCTCTTCTCCAGGCTGAACAAACCCAACTCTCTCAGCCTGTCCTCACAGAAGAGGTGCTCCAGCCCTTTGACCATTTTTGTGGCCCTTCTCTGGACCTGCTCCAACAGGTCCGTGTCCTTAAGTTGGAGGCACCAGAGCCAGACACAGTACTCCAGGTGGGGTCTCATGAGAGTGGAGTAGAGGGGCAGCATCACCTCCCTCAATCTGCTGACCACACTTCTTTTGATGCTGAAAAGGAATAACTTCTCCTCACCTTTTAAATTACCTAAAAAGCCTTGAATCAGAAATTACTTAGCTGGATTCACTACTGTTCAGTCCTGGTTGTTTTTCCAGCAGCCCCCTATTAAGTTAGATCAATACACAGGTACACAGGTCCTGATAATCACTGTAGTAACAGTAACTATGCTGGTGATCAGACTACATGCAGTCTACATGTTACTGATGCACGATCCTAGTTTATATAGGAGCTCATTTATCCACTGTATTTTTATGCAGTGCGCTGAGCTCATTAATGTAGTCTCTGTGGCTCTTTTCTTTAAGGGGAACACTGATCACGTTAACAAAGAATATTGACAGCAGCTACATGGCCTTTTTCACCCAGTAGTTTCTGCTGTCTGGCACACCATGCTAATCAGCCGTTTCCTAAAGCATTGCTCCTGAAAGCAGCGGAGCAACAGCCTCCCAGCCAGCTGAATTTTCTGAGGTTTTGGGGTTTTTTACCTCACACGAACTTCATCCTTCTTCTGGGTGCAGTTAACTCATTGTGCCAAAGATCTTAATCTCCAGGGCTCATAAATATGCTTGTGAAGAGTAACTTTTCTTCATTTGTTTTTAGAATAGATTAGATTGTACCCAACAGCACTTCAAAGGCCTACTTATCTTATGATAACCCAGGATGTTGCATAAATATTTGCAGGTAGAGCTTGACCTTGCATAGGGGCAAAGAGTGCAACCTACGTTTACCAAGCTTTTTATATAAATACTTGTTAGCAAAATGCAGAAGTCCGAAATTTTGAGTAACATAAAAGCAAAATATAATTTTCAAGCTCTTCAGTGTGGATTTCTACAAGCAACAAGGATGAAAAGCTGCACTGAAAATTTTGCCCCCCTCCAGTTCCAAGTACAACCTCAAAACACCTTACCAAAAGAGTGACTTGTAGAATTCAATCTCAAAAGCCCTTAACCCAATTGTTGTCTTCTATTTTCTTTCAGCAACCTAAAGTGATGGACCTGAAATTACTATATCAGAGAACGTGGGGTTCACAACTCTGGAGAACACCTTCCACACAAGGTCTGTAATTCTTGGACAATGCAGTGCAATAGAAAAGCTAACCCAATCATGACACAAAGTCCCAGTGACATTAGTGGGAATCATCCCCGAATAATGACCTGCAAATCACGGAAAGATCCTCACGTTTCATCACCCACTTGCAAACACACCAGGAATACAAACTGCGAAATTTACAGCCTCACAGTTGTTTGATGCTAAACTGGTCTATCAAAGGTATTTTAGGGGAAGGAAAAAAAAAAGAAAGAAAAAAAGGAGAAAATTAAAAAAAAAAAAAAAAAAAAAAGGAAAAAAAAAAAAAAAAAAAAAAGGAAAAAAAAAAAAAAAAAAAAAAGGAAAAAATTAAAAAAAAAAAAAAAAAAAAGAGAAAAATAAAAAAAAAAAAAAAAAAGAGTTCTATAGTTGCTGTTTAGGTAAGAGGAACTTAAGAAATATCCCTGCGCTAAGAGCACTAGCTATCTGAGCTAGCATCACTGTCCACAGGACAAGTTATTTCCCTTCATCTGCAGGGCACAACGGGGATAGGAACAACTGCCCCTGTTACCTCAGTTCTCACTCCAAGATTTATCACACCTGATGTAAGAGGCTCCAGGCTAAGGAACCCTTTTGCTTTCTCTGTCCCATGGCTGCAGGAAGAAATAATAGAAAGTTGCTACAATTTTATACTCTATCCATTAAGGGGAAGCTTAGTAGTTCAAGCAGAAGTTATTAGATTAAAGGCAAAACTATTGTTCATGATAAGGAGAAAATAAAATTTTCATTCCACAAATACGGTGACTTCAAAAATAACTGCTGATCATGTAAATCATGCCATGATTTGGCAAAACAGCCAAACTTCAACAGCTCAATTTTTCTCTAACAGAGGTACTACGCCCAGTCCAACTGTCAAATTCGAACAATTCTTGCCACCATGCCCAAATCTTTTATCCAAAAACGTCATCTCACTTCTCAACATTTAAAAATCTAAGAAAACAATGGCTGAACCAATGTGACATTTCACAATGACAATCTTTTTAGGTAATATGTGTATCATCAGCATACAGGTTACATGCACAGTCCAGCAAACCATCAGAGTTCCAGAAAGCTTGTGACAGAAAGATGAGACCTACCTACTATTTTACCTCTCCAGTTAACTTTAAAAGATAGTTGTGACTTTTTAAAGAAATACATGGGGAAGTTCAATTATTCCACTTAAATCCTGTTTAAAAGGACCGTAACTGAATTGTAACATACTAAAGTAGAGAAAACACCTCTGAGAAGCTTGGCACCTTATTACCTGCCAGACAGAAACGTTTTTCGAGTTGTTATTCCGAGTTTTCTGTCTGACTGCGCTACCTTAATCGTTTTTCCGTACAGCAGTTTACAGCCGCGCACAGCAGTAATTCCCGCCAGCAGCAGCTGGGCAGTAAAATGGTAAGATTTACCCCTCCATCAGCGCGAACCAGCCAGCAGGAAAAACAGCCCCTTTCTTGCGCCTTCACCCCCGGCAGAGCAGGGCAGGGCAGGGGCAGGCTGGGAACAGACCCCACATCGCCGCCCGCGGGAAGAGGTACCTGGGGTTTTTCGGAGAAGGACGATTCCCCACCCCAGCTCCGAAGACAACGACGGCGGAGCCCAAAGCCCGAAGCTGACTTTTGCGGATGACCGGGTAACTCCACAAGGCGCGGCCGCCGCTGCGTTGTTTACCCACAGCCGACGGGGCCGGCCGGGGCTGCTGGGCGGAGGGAGGCAGCCGCGGGTTTCCCAGGACACCGGAGCCGTCGCAGCGACAGAGAAACCCCGGCACGGAAACGCCGCGACCGGCCCTCCCGCCCAGCCCACGACCCGGCCA